ACCTGGTGCTTTAACTGCTGGATGATGATGCTCAGGCACACTTCACTAATGCATCCTCCTGCCTCTAGGAGTTGGGCACAGATGATGTCAGCCAGCCCCTGGTCTGGTCTGGTGGAACCAAGGGAGATGTAGAAGACCAGCTGGAACCTGTTCAGCAGGGGACAGCATCCTGATGCCCAGAGAAAAGCTGTTTTCTTCAGGAAGGTTGTCTTCCCACTGCCAGTTTCCCCCTCCACACACATGACGGAGTTGAGATTGCTGAGGACCTCGGGAAGCATCAAGGCCTCTTGCACTGGCCTGCTGATGTGCTTTGAAACCATGGACAGGTCACAACCAAGCAAGTGGTCAGTGCCGAGGCCGGAACACACCTCTGGCAGATTGATGTGGCGGAAAGTGGCCTTGGTGTAGGCTCCTCTCAGCTGCTCGCTCAGACTCTTTGCCTCTTGAAACCACTGGGCTGCACTCTGAGCCAGGTCTGTGGAGAGGAGGCCGGCACTGCTGGATGGACAGTCACATCCTTGAACTTCACTCTGATCCTGATCTCTACAGAGGACAGATACAAAGCTGGATGCAGGTGCAGGTTCATGAGCTTCACTTGGAACAACATCTGTGGAGGGAAGAAGGGAGAACCAGTAGGAAATGTATTCAAGCCTTTCAACCCTAAGGCTGTGGTGTCTTTGTTACATTTTCTTGCCTGTCTGTTATGGATGGATTAGGACTTTTCTCCAATGTCCATAATCTCCCTTTGAGATCCTCTCAGACTTTTTCATGGCATCAGAATATGGGATCATGTGTCCAAGGCCCTATTTGACCTGGGGACTTAGACATAATGTGTGCTTATTAAGAATACTCTGGGCCGGGCGGTGGTGGCACACACCTTTAATCCCAGCACTCGGGAGGTAGAGGCAGGCAGATCTCTGTGAGCTCAAGGCAAGCCTGGAATACAGAGTGAGTCCCAGGAAAGGTGCAAAGCTATACAGAGAAACCCCGTCTTGAAAACACAAAAACAAACAAACAAACAAACAAAAAAGAATACTCTGGCATCCTAATCTCCCATTTAAGACCCCAGGAAACCAGCTTGCTGCAGGATGCCTTTAAGACTGGCTGGTTTGGATCTGGCACAAGGACTGCTGTCACTAGTCCTGCATTCACTCTCAAGATGTCATAGGAATGCTGACACTCTCTCACCCACAGTGCCCTCCATGTCAGTGCCCTCCTCTCTAGGAGCTCCTTGGACAATTATACATGCACTTTCCTTTCAAATCCCTGCGTACAAATACACATAATCCCATGTTGCTTTCAAGTTCTTACCGGCCACCGTAGAGTGAACGGCCACTGGATCCTCATGATTGCTTTCACCTGTGGTATCCTTGAAAGAGAAATCCTTTATTAAATCAAAACTGCTCTTAAATCAAGATTGGGTACAATACTATCACTGATGATATAATCAATAATATTATCAGTCAAATTGATAATACCGTCAATCAAAGCCAATATCCTCTAAACACAGCCTACACTCAGTGCTGATTGAAGGAACGAATGCTCTAGATAGGAAAGAATAAGTCTCACACATCTGCAAGAGTGTGTTCCTAGACAGTACATGCATGGGATATACATCCTCTCCATGGATGAGTGCTGTGTAGGTGATCAAAATTGTAGAGTCTGGAACAAGAATGGCCCTACAGAAAGCATTAAGCATTGCCTCCACCCTTGGTTATTAGTAACTATGTATGTAATACCACATACTGCGAGGGAGAAAGGTTATTTATGCATGCACACACAGTTTTGTTTTTTAATATTCTCTTTTCTGAGACAAGGTTAAAAGTAGACTATGGGGATCCTCCGTCTATTTCCCAAGTGCTGGGATTCAAAACATGAATCATAACACCTGGTTTCAATGTCTTGCTTTTTATTTTTGCTTCTGTTTTGAGACAGAGTCTTGTTTAACCTAGACTGGTCTCAAACTTAGTATGTGTCTGACCATGACTTTGAACTTCTGATCCCCCTTCCTCCACCTCCCATTGCTGTGATTCCAGGTGTCCCCACAACACCCAGTTTGATCAATGCTGAGGAGACACAGGACTTCATGTGCACTGGGCATCCCCAGGGACTGCAATGTCATTTGAAAATGACAAATACAAGAGGTTAATCAACTGAACCGAATTGTTTCTCTCTTCTTTTTCTTTCCTTCCTCTGCTTTTGTTTTGCTTTTTGATAAGGAGGCTCATACTTATGGGCCGCCTTAAACGTATTGCCAGCCTTGAACTCATGGCAAATTCTGCCTCAGTCTCCAGAGTTCTGGGCTGCAAGCATGGAGCATCATGCCAAGCTTTGTTTCTTTTGGGGGATGACAAACATAGTGTACTACCATACTACCTCCAAGTGAGGAAGTGTGTGTGACTGACTATTCAACTGATAGTTTGTATCCCTGAGAGATGTAGGGTTCAAACTATTATCTGGGTTACAATTTTGCTAGGCATCATTTTTGTTAGGAAACACATCTACAGGCCGGTGATGTAGGTCAGTTACAGAGTCCTTGCCTGCGTTTGATCTCCAGCACTACAAGAAATAAAGCAAAATAATAATAAAAACTCAGCTGTGTGTGTTGGCACATAGACTTAACAATCCTAACACTTGGAAAGGTAAAGCAAGAGGATCACAAATTCTAGCCAGTCTGGGATAAGTAGCAAGTTCAAGGTCAGCCTAGACCTCATACTAAGAAACTGTCTCAAGCAAAAAAACTAAACAAACAAAATGAAATATACCTCAAAGATCTCTCAATACCAAGTAGGAAGTCAAGCCTACTGTCTAAAGATCACAGATGAGATCCACTGAGCTCCAATGCCAGTCAGGTCTAAACTGGAAAGAGTCTGAAGAATCTCGGAGGAGAAGGGATCGCACATTCATAGAGCTAGGTATTGACGTCTGTTCACTGTGAAGCCCTGTCTATAACCATCGGGTGGTTGTTGTTAGTAAATAATTGTGTGACTCATTTAATTTTGTATTGACAAAGGGCAATTGCTGTTCAGAACAGTGTTCAACCACAGGACCATGTACTGTGAGTCAGAGAAGGGGGCAGTGTCCATTACCGTGGCCTCTGGAAGTGCGCCGTGACTCTGAAGGTCAGGAATCACTACTGCAGAGGACTTCAGGTTTTGGAGAAAGAGACAGCTAAACAGAGAAGACATAAAAAGACATAAATAGGCGTTTGCATTAGGTTTTAACACAGACACAGAAACAATAATGAAGTAGAAAGCTAACGTTTTCAGTGACTCTGCCAGCGTTTTTATCATATACGACTTTCACAGCCAGGCAGTGGTGGCTCACAATTTTAATTTCAGCACTTGGGAGGCAGAGGCAGGCAGATCTCTGTGTGTTCGAGGCCAGCATGGTCTACAGAGTGAGTTCCAGGACAGATAGGATGACACAGAGAAACCCTGGCTGCCCTGTCCACGCTCCACTGAGGGAGCTGCATAGTTGAAGGAACTCGCTGACACTAACGCCCTTCCTGGAAAGCTGAGAGACCATGACAACGCACCAGTCTCTCACTGGCCAGACCACTACTCTTAGCAAGTGAGTGGAAGGAAAACAGCAGCATCAGGAAAAAGTCCAAGAACTTAATGATGTGGCAAGACATCAACCACAGGCACACTAGTTGTGAGAATCCAGCCAGAGAACAAGGAACTGACATCCTTGGAAGAACACCAGTCTGCGTTGGAACCAAGAATGAGCAAGTGCCTGAAACAAAGGTTAGAGTGCTGAGGGAGAGCGAAAATGATGACCGAGATCGAACACTGAAGTCAGAAGAGCAACACTCAAGATTAGCACGGTACATCTCAACAACAGCTGATGACTCTTCCGTGATACATCTCTGCACGTCCTTGAAGCACGTCAGCACCGACTGGCGAGGAGGCACTTGGAAGCAAATTGGAATGAGTTCCAAGCATGTGTTGACCAGAACGCTGAGAGAGCAGCAGCAATGAGGAAAACCATTGAAATTGAAGCAGGGTTGCAAGGAACAGGAGTGAATATTTCAACTCCAAGAAACAAAATCTTGAGAGAAATCCTTCTTGAACTGAGAATCCTTTTTGAACATTCGGACAGATAAAGCATCAGAGAGTACATCTTTGTCATCATTAGTGACTAACAGTGACCTTGGTCTGAGGAGTTGCTGAGTGGCTTTCTGCATGGTCACTAGGATTGGCCTAGAAGTGAATGGATGAATAAATGTAAAACTTGTATGTACAAGTAACCGGCTAGGATGCAGAACAGAAGAATGGATGATTGGTAGTCATAAACTAGATCCCCAAACATAATTAGAAAGGAGAAGCTGAGATATCAATTGGTGAATAATGTGTCTTCATGGTGATGCTGAATACTGCAGAGCTTCAGAAGTGCTGTTGGCTTCCTAGATGATACGTAGGTATCATCTACTAAACATCTGGAAATCCTGAATTATCCCAAATGTAAAGTGTAAGATTTGCCATAGTTTTCTGATGGGAAGATCTTCAATCTAAGACTTCCTTCCCGTTCAGTGTCAGGATTAACAAATAGCTTAGGTACCATGAGGCTTCTGCCTTAGTGGCTGCCCATTTATTTAAATTCTTTGTCAAGGAAATTCAGGTTTAAAGGCCATAAGAATGTGTTACTAGCTAGCTCCAGAGAAGTTAGGTAACAAGGAGGGCCCTAAGAGAGACGAATGGATTGCCCCGGGAAGGGGAAATAGATGAGATCTCCTGAGTAAACTGGGGGCAGGGGGGGCAATAGAGGGAAGGGCATGAGGGATGAAACCATGAGGGAATGGATGGTCAAGCTGGGGGAGGGATGGAGTGGGAGAGCAATGAAAGAGATATCTTGCCCATGTTTCCTTCTTATTCAATTGGGTCATTCTGAACTCTACTGATGTTCATCCTGTGTTATATCCATTAATGAAGAGAATGACTTTCTAAGCCACTGTTTGGAATCCTTTTTAAAATAATAGAGTTCACTCTTTGAGAATTTCACACATATATTGTGGCTTGGATGAGAAAATACCCCCCATTTGGTCATGTATTTGAACACGTGGTCACAGTTGGTAGCACTGTTTTTGAAAGACCATGGAACCTTTAGGAGGTGGAGCAGACTTTGAGGTTTTCTATCCTGGCTCCACTTCCTGTTGTTGCTTTACGCTTCCTGTGTACAGATAAGATTGGTCAGCTGACTACCTGAGTACCAGGTCAACATCACACTCCTGCCGCCATGCCTCTTCTGTCATGATGGACTGTATCTTCTCAGAACTGCAAGCCCAAACAATCCTTTCTCTCCTCTGAGTGGCTCTTTGTCAGGGTGTTTGTAATGGTTTCAATGAAAAATGTCCCCCATAGATCAGATATTTGAACACCTCGTTCCCAGCTGGTGGCACTAACTGGGGATGTGGTGAAGCTTTGCTGCAGACATGATGGACCAGCCTGACTCCATCTTAAGGATGGGAGCCATGTTGTTATACGGTCAGAATAAGCTCATTTCTGTTGGCTGCAAAATTCAAGCTGATAGTGCTTTAGCCTGTTTCTGGGATTTAACGTGCTCCCACTCTAAGGAGTTTGACTCACACCTGGAACATACCCTGAGAAGACAAGATGCTCTGTCAAATAGTTTTGAAATGTTCAGCCAGGTTCCTCCATAACCAAGATTCCTATGGAAATCCCTCAACCCTTGAAAGTCCCCTAGTGTTACAGCCTTGGGGGGCTATATAAGCCCCATTTTTCCTGTGTTCTATACTATATTTTCAAACCCCGCACTAGAAGACATCCCTGTCTGACAGAAAATAAAGCTTGCTTCATCTGACCAAGGAATCTGGGTGGTGGTCTTCATTCAGTGGGGTTAACAGAAGTACATCACGGGGACAGGCTGAAGAGTTCATAGCCTTGCTCCACTTACATTCTCTCTCTACTTTCAGCTTGCAGTTGAAGATGAAATCTCTCAGCTTCCTGTTCCAACTGACTGCTACCATGCCTCCCATATCATTATGGACTCCCCCTCTAAGCGGAAACCAAAATAAACTCTTTTTTCCATAAATTGGTTTTGGTCATGGTGTTTTATCATAGGAACAAACGAGTATCTAATACACAGGTATAGCATATTTTGATTATATTTACACCCCCTCCCTGCCCCTCTTCAGCTGCCCCAGATGCCCCACCACACTGTATCCCTCCCAACTTCATGTCCTCTTTTCAACCTCTCTGAGTGCACTTGCTGCTCTCCATATGTGCACGGGTGTAGGACCACCCCCTGGAGTTGGGAAACCTGCCATGGACCACACCCCTGAAGAAAACTGACTCTCCCCCCTGAGAGCCATCAAATGCTGGTCGCTCCCCAGAAAGGGGAAGGTCTTGGGGAGTGCTTCCACAAACCACGCTGAAATGTTGACTGGTCTGAATATTTTGCAGGCAGCCATGGCCATGTGTGGTTTCCTTGTTGGTGTTTTGAGACAGTGTCTCACTCTGTAGACCAGGCTGGCCTCTAACTCACAAGAGATCTGCCTGCCTCTGCCTCTCAAGTGCAGGATTAAAGGCATGCCCCCACACACACACACCCAGCTTTCATGTGAGTTCTTGTAAGAACACTGTCATGTAAAGACAGCACTTCCTAGTGGTCCAGCTCAACGTCTGGCTCTTATAATTTTCACCCCTCCTTTCCCAGTGTTCCCTTAGCCTGGGAAAGAGGTGTGACATACATGGCCCATTTAGATGAGCACTCACAGTCACTTATGCACTATGACTAGTAGGAGTCCGTGAAATTCTTTTCTTGTTGAGAGTCTGGATTTAGTTCCTTCTAGGCCCCCATTAGCAACTGACAGCATGGGGGTATCCTAAAAACACACTTGGCTGATAGAAAATGGTTGTTGTTGTTATTATTTTCATTTTATATCTTGCTACTGTCTGTCTAGTAAATCTCCCAGACCTTTAAAAAATAAAGGTGGGCATAGAGCAGCACACTTGTAACTCAGAACTAGGGAGGTAGAAGCAGAAGGATAGAGAGTTGAAGGCCCTTCTCATACATAGTGAGTTTGAAGCCAGCCTGGGCTACATAGTACCCTCTCTCAAACGACCATCTTTAGGGAAACAAGATTAGGCAATCCAGACATGGTAGGTAGAGCATGCATATAATCATAGCACTAATGAAGCTGAGGAAAGAGGACTGTGAGTTCAAGGTCAGCCTGGGCTACACAGCAAATCAATGTCAGCTACATGGTGAGATGTAGGGCTAAAGATGTAGATTTGGGCTAAAGATCAGCTCAGCAGCAGAATGCTTCCCTCCTGTGGGCAAGGCCCTGAGTTCCATTCTCAACATTCGGAAGTAGAGGGGAAAATAAGCCACCCTAGTGTTTTCACATAGCTCAGTTGTTGAAGGGGTACTTAGAATGCATGACACCCTGGATTCAATTCCCACTAGGCAGTGTGTGGTGGTGGTGGTGGTGGTGGTGGTGTGGATTGTGGGATATTCTGAAATAAGCACCCTAACACCAATGAAAGCAGAAAAAGGAGGTATCACTGGTGGGCTGAAGCCAGACTAGCTCCTGAAAGGCCTCGGTATCCAGTCCAGTTTGTAGTCTCATCTCATACTTTAAAACCACAAGGTGAGACAAGCAGACAAGAAAGGTTGGTCAGGTTGTTAAGGGCAATGATCTATTGTTTCAGCCCCAGGTAACACGTGAAGTCATACTTTGCAATAGAGAGTTCAGGCAGTGCTTAGTGAGTCCCTGAATAAACCAATAAATCAGAATCTAATAACTGGCCTTTCCTGCCTTATCCTACTTCAACAGAGATGGAGATGAGAGCTGGAGAGAAAGAGAAAGGGAGAGAAGACGAAACCAAAATCACCAAAAAAGCATAGGCAAGGCTAAGTATGGATATATGCACAGTTGGTAAAAATCATACAAAGAAATTAAAAGAAAAAGTAATTGAAAATCAGGACTGTGTTTACCCCTGGATAGGAAGGTCGAGCATCAGCTAGGACCTGGGGACAGCACAGGAGCCTTCTGAGTCATTGAGAGACCTTGATTTCTTGACTTTAGTGTTCAGCTCCTAGGACCTTTATTATTATCTTTTAATCATTGTATTAGTTATTTTATATTGCCATGATCGAATACCATGACAAGAAGCAACTTTAGGGGAAAAAAATTACTTAGGCTTAAGTTCTTAGAGCACTGGTTCTCAACCTTCCTAACACTGAGACCTTCTAATGCAGTTTGTGGTGACCCCCAAACACAAAATTATTTTTGTTGCTACTTCATAGCTGTAATTTTGCTGTTATG